AGAAAAAGGAGACCAGTGGAGACAGTTCACTAGCTTCTTTCCAAAAATGATTTTGTTGCTCATTCACTCTCTGCTGCAGCTTATTTTCAAAGGAGATACCTCTCTACACTGAGCAAAGTCAGGTGGGTCATTTCCTAGGTCAGTATAAAGGGTACCTTATACTTCTTTGCATTGAATTTGAATGACTGAATTCAAGTTAAACACTCAGTCTGCTCAACTTGTAGGCAAATAGATTTGACAGTGCTGATAAAGGTTTAAGGTCTGTTGACAGAAGTAGAAAAAAGCTATTTATTTATTTATAAATCAACAATGCTTTTTAGAAGAGAAGCTTTTTTTGCAGACTGCTTCAGAAATCATGTTTGTTCCCATTTCAAGAGATCAGGGCAACAAGAGAGTGAGAACGTGCTGCAGCTCTATCTTAAAATTAAGTTTCTTGCCTGGCAGCATAGAAGTGAAACACATACTTATTTTGCAATTGTGGGCAAAAAACATTAATAATAGGCCCACCACCAAATCCTCCAGCTCTTCAGCCTAAGCACCAGAACAAGTACAGAACTACCCACTTCACCTTCTGCAATAGCATAAGGACATACATCCTGCCGTGCTTGGCTTTTAATCTCCTCCTCCTAAGCCTTCCTTCTGAGTGCAGGTTAAGTATGCTTTGCTCCTGCTCAAAAAGTGAGCTTCAAAACCCCACTTACCCAACTAATTACCAAACTTATTAAAAAACCCAAGCCTCTCTTCTTAAACCGATTATATTCAACCGACAGCACTATGACACAAGCTGCCCGTTGCACCGAATGGTGGTAGCAGGGGGGACCTGGGTGGAAAAAAGACATACATGTGAGTTTTGAAGCAAGCCTACTGCAGCGAAAGGTCAACGTGGTGGGAAGGGAATGACTAAAAACTGTAGGCTTATTTATTTTCAACACCTTACCAGAGAGTAACATGCAATTTGATTCTCACCCTTAATTTGTACATTCTCACGGGAATTTGGCAAGGTTGCTCAGAAGAAGAAAGTTAGAAGAACTCTTGCAAAAGACACCGCGCTATGCCAGATCGAGCAAGCTATCAGTTATTTACATTCATTTCAAAGGACACAAAGGAAGCCATTTATTTCCACCATATCTGCACTTTTGAAGAGAAACCAGTTAGGACAGAGCTGGTCCTGACACCGGGGCTTGTCAATACAGACCAACCAGCATAGCTATTCTGGAGGAAACATTTAAGCATGATCAAACTCCCCTGAATTAATTCATAACCTTTGAAGGTTCCTTCCAGCCCTAACGATTCTATGATTCTATGAGTCTATAACTATAGAGACTATTCCAGGACACAGTGATCTCAGGAGGGAACACACATGTTAGGAAGTCATCCTAAACTTGTGCTACTGGGACGTTTCCTAGCGCAGGCAAGGGAAGTCCTCTGGCTATGAGGGAAAGCGATCTCTGGTCTGCACCTTCCAAGCGACTCAGGAGAATTTTTAAGAAGCCTATTTTAAGCACAAGTTTCAGAAGCTGTAAGGAGGCACACTTGGCTTAGCAAGATTAAAATGTGCACCTAATTCTCCCAGCTACTAAATAAAGGGACTCCTATGTTAACACACAGGAATGCATTCCATCTCTTTCAGACAGGGGAAATAAAGCGACCAACATAATATTCGTTTCTTCAGACACATTGCTACAAACAAAACTAGGAGAAACCCACAAGTCTCACTACAGGTTAAGAACCACATCATGCTATATGAAGTCCAGATAACGGCAGCAGGACAGGAAGAATCCTACACCCACATATGCAGAGAAATCCATCTTAACCAGCCAACAGTTGAGTGACATAATTGAGTTTCCCAGATCTGAGCTGCAGATCCTGCAGCGCAGAAACCACTCTGATGAGGCTCTCCCTCATCTCTCCTTCAATAACTTCGAATCCAAGTAAGATTTCCCCATCACTACAAAGAGGCAGAAAGAGACAAAGAAAACCACTGCTGCTCTAGTCTGTAAAAAGCAGGAGTACGTTCACCTTCTGTCTGTGAAGATGAAATAAAGATGAGGAAACCAGTGGGGTAGCCCTTCAAATCCCCAAAATCAAGATAAGCAGGAATAAACAGATCAAATGCCATGCTGTCAAAGCTCAGTGCGTAGACAAAAGAGCACCTGAAATTTAAGTAACAATTTGAATTTATTACCTAGAAAGACCATTCACCAATTCACAAAGTTCTTTTCAAGGTAACTTTTGCATTTGATAAAAGGTGAACTCAAAAACTCTCCATTAGTTGAACTGAGGGGTCAGTGCAGCTGTAAATATCTCCTCTTTCAGCCACATCATCTCCCAGAGACTGAGCTGCTCAGCAGTACTTTGATCAGATCTCCCCGGGGATGATCAGCTCCATGGCACTCCCATTGCCTTCAGTTTTCCAGCATGAGAGTCCACACATCCGATCTGTTTGAAATTTCACTTAACTACCTCTTTGATGACACTTCCCTGCACGGGCCATGTACCATTATTATTTGACTTGCAGAGAGGAACAGATTTTAAAAGGAAAAAAAAAAAAGCATTTTCTTTCCTCATAAGCAAAAGCTTATAACAGGAATTAAGATGCGTTTGTCAGGTCCACACCTCCACAATTAAGACAGGGCTGGAAAGCCGCAGTCCTGTTCTGATGCAACTAGTACGCACGCTACACCAGAGAGGTAGAAAGGGTGACGTCTTTGCTGAGCCTGTGGTGCTGGGGATGGAGGGAAGCCTAGGGAAAAAGATCTCTAACTCTGGAGTGCAGCACTAACAGGTGCTTTTGAATATATTTCAAGACGCTGAAACTATTTCTGAGTTACAAGATCAAAGCATCAATCAAAATAACCGGAACACAAGCACAGAGCTGAGGTCGCCAGCTGAGCCTATGAATGGAGCTAAACCGCCTTGTTTATCTCGGCACGTGTGCGCGCACTAAGCCTGAGAGATATGGGTGACCTACTGGAGCAGCCCACCCGCTCCTCATCGTCAGGCCAGCTGAAAAAGCACAGAGAAGACACAGCCAAGGAACGGGCGCGGATTCCCGTCAGCGGTTCTCACTACAACGGACAGATGAGCAGAAAAAGCAAGAAAGAAAACAACCTCGCTTGGCACCATGCCCACACACACATCCCAGGGCAGTGGGGAAAAGAGGCCAGGGGTACATACCGGCCACGTATCAGCTTTCTGGCCCAGAGAACGGGCAGATCTGGCAGATACCTAAACAAAGGCCACTCTCTGTCCCAAATGCACCTTCCCAAACCCCTCTGCCAGCAGGAACCGGAGAGGACCTCTCTGCAGAGCTCCCTTGCCTTCCCAGCCAGCTTGCCATAGGAAGGTAGATGCTCACCGCCACCGAGCAGCATCCCCCCCATGCCCCTGCCCCAGACACGAACCCACCTTTCTTGAACTCCTCCAGCATGGCATCAAGCTTGGTGTCATTGAAGACAAAGTGCAGCGGATGGTTGTAGAAGCGGGTGATGGTCTTGAGAGGACTGCAGTCATCGGGGTCCACGAAAGCCAGGTCCTTAACGAAGAGCAGGTCCACAATGTTAGAGCGGTCACCCTCGAAAACAGGTATGCGGGTATAACCGCTTTCCATGATCTCAGACATAGTGTTGAAGTCGAGCACAGCCTCGGCAGCAATCATGAAGCAGTCTCGGAGGGGAGTCATCACATCCTCCACTGTCTTGGTGCGCAGCTCCAGGGCTCCTTGGATAATGTTGAGCTCCTCCTTGACTAGGTCGTTATAAGGGTCGGTGACTCGTAGCATCTCCAACAACTTCTCACGGTTGTAGACCGTGCCGATCTCCTGGCCCAGAACACAGTCCAGCAACTTGCTGACGGGGTAGGAGGCCGGGAAGGTCATCATCATGAAAAACTTGGTGAGGAAGATGGTGTTGGCGCCCACGGCCAGGCCGTGCCGAGAACAAATGGCCTGCGGCACGATCTCGCCGAAGATGACGATACCGATGGTGGAGACCACCACGGCCACCAGCCCAGAGCCAGCGATGTCGTCCAGCAGGATGGTGAGTGTGGTGTTGACCAGGACATTGCCCAGCAGGAGGGAACAGAGCAGGTAGTTGCCCTGGCGGCGCACAGGCTCGATGCGCTTGGCATAGTTCTTCTCTTTGTCCGTGCCACAGTTCTGCACAATGCGCAGCTCCATGGGGTCCAGGGCCATGAGGCCCAGGTTGAGGCCGCTGAACATGCCCGAGAGGCAGAGGAGGAGTGAGATGAAGATGACCTGCAGCCAGAAGGGCAGCAGGAACTTCTTCTCCTCACCCACGATCATCTTGGTGTCCTCGCCGTCGTGGTAGATCCAGGTAGTCTCGCCCCAGGGCGGGTGC